GCACAGGGTTTGCGGGACCTTGTATATATTCAGTGATGTGTTGCAATCCATTAACCGTCCCGAGTTTGGGAGCTGGAAATTGAAAAAGAGCGATCCATGGTATGCCTGCGCTCTCCTGCCCCAACCTGCAAAAAAAAAACTCACATTCCATCAACAAATATTCAATTATGCATGATGTTTTCATCTGCCAACGGGCGTTCTTGTATTTGCACTAAGTGGCCACACGTTCACCGGCTGTGTGATACAATTTCCGAAGCTGTCAGGCTGCATAAACACCCAGTGAAGGTTGCGTGTTTGTTCAGAGAAGTGCTTCAAACGTCCTGTTAGACAAGAAGCTAATCACTGCTCAAAATCGTGTTTCTCTGTGATGTTTCTCTTCTCTTTCTCACTTGCCTCTTGGGCCACTTGACACCGTGTCTCTGCAAGTCTCTCCATTGAGAGCTCTTAGAATAGTGAAAAGCACTTCTGAGGCTCCGCCAACAGTGCTAAGCTTTTTTTTTCGGCTGCCATAGCACTAATATTTTCATTAGTGCTATTTTTGGGATTGGTCTTAATAGCGGGTTAGAGCTGGAGCTTATTCACAGAGCGGTGATTCCTGTGATCATTTCATTATTTCATCCCCGCTGTGCCAGCTCTGTGGCTGTTTGCGTTGTCGCATGTCAAATGTGTGCGTGAAAACATAGCCGAGGGAAACCAAAGGTAAACATGTGGCGGGTGTGTACATCTTCTCAGCACAGAGATGCAGAGAGGACAAAGTTGTTTCAGGAGTTTTTATCGCCTATGTCTTAAACAACATGCCGCCGCATTGGGAGGACTGAACTGTCACATAGCTGTCAGTGTGATGCTTGTCGCCTCCAGCAGCTGTACGGGCTGAGTGATGTGGCCAGTTGGTGTTTACCTTTGAGTGGCAGTCAGTGACAGCTTTAATTCCTTTTTCTTTGTTCTTTGTTCCAGCCAACTGACGGCTCAGAGAGCTCTCCCATTTCAAATATGCACCTTGCTGTTGTTGTTACGCCCGGTAGTGTTGCTTCACAGGTGAGCACCCTCCTTCAGCTTTTGGAGACAGTCAGTCATGTCAGCCTTCATCCCCCCCCAAATCTCACCGTGCCAGGAACAATACATACACACGAAATTTGACCTCTGCATCCCTGTATATATGGAGCAGTGGGTTGCCAATGACAGGGTTCAGTGTCTTGCTCAGGGACACTACGACACGTGTCCCTGCGGTTACCAGACAACCCTCTTAAGCCAGTGAGCCACGGTCGCCCCCGGTTTAGATGGGTTCCTAATAAGATGCTGCAATCACGATCAATCAAGCTTTATCTCAATAGGCTGTTTAAGAGCTTAATTCAATGCCCTGTTAAGCTATCTGAAGTATTGTGAAAAGGGCAAAGGGAACAATAAGTGAGACCAGTACGGTGCTATAAACCGAGGTTAAATGTGGAGGTGCCGTTTGAGTTGGCATTTAAGCTCAATTACTGCAACTCTTGAGCTTAACGGACAATGGTGTTGTTATGTTTCCAAAGAGCAAACACTGTTTGCTGGTGTGAGACGTAGAAACATGCTGGTTTATAAGAGAAGCCTTTTATAAAGTGACCGCTTGAGATCGGATCTCACTTTCCCGCTCTATATGCAAATAAACACGTTCACCGCTTCCGTTGGCAAAGACCCGATGCATCGTTGTTTTGCAATATGTGGGATTGAGAGCAAACAACTGTTAGCTTTATTAAGATATAGTGGAGTAACCTGAGCAGGAAGTCCCTCTGTGTGTGTTGTTATCTGAGCTTTGTTGACAACATCGAGCCGGCAGTGCATGCTTTTTAGTGCATGTGAGCGTGCACCACTGGCTCGCTCACGGCCGCCGCTCTGCACTGCTCCCCTACGGCGGTAGAAGCTGATAACCCAACTGACAGCGCCATCGAGGAAGCTGAGTGGCCACTCCTTCAGTTCCCCCTCAGGTAAACACTGTTAGCTCTTTTCTCATAGTGTCCACTGTTAGCTGCAAGCTGCCGGCTCAGCCGTCGCCATATCGAGAGCAGTCGAGAAGCAATAGAAGTGCTCCAAATGTCGTGTTCAGCACCTTCAACTGGCCGGAGGCAGCACTGCACCTCCTGTGCCTGTGTTTGAGGAAGAGATCACAACTATTTCTCAGCCTATTTCCTGTTACTTCAGGGACTCATCAGCAGGACTAGGATCCCAGACCCCCTCAGCACAGTGCTTGAGTAATGTGATCACAAGTGCCGTTTTATAACCAAGAGTAAACAGAGTCTCCGAGACGTTTCGATCGCTGTGGGGAGCAGAGTCACTCTGCATCAAATCTCTTCATTAAAGCATGGAAACCAAAATATGTTTTCATGCACTGAGTGACTCTCGCCCATGTGTTTCCATCACTGCAGCCAAGTTCCATGGTACATATTCTGAAGTGACCAGTTAGAATATAATCAGAGGTGTCGGTATGCATACTGCGTTTGGAGAAAGTGAGTTATCCCAGCATGCAAAGTGCTACTCAGAGCTGGGAGCTATACAAGAATACGTATTGTAACCTTTTGAACCTTGTTTTTGTCCGATAGTGGATTCTAATTAAGCTTTCCAGAGATGCAATTGATAAACGATCGATCCAGTCACACAAACATTGTGTAATTACCTCTTTGTACAAAAGCAGCCGACCACCGAGTATCAACTTTAGAGGCAATATTGCTGTCAGGAGAGAGATTTTGTGTTTTACTTTGTTTGTATTTCCACACTTTGTATGCAAATTAATATTATTTAGTTTTGGTTTGGATGCGAGGGAGATATGATTTACTGAATTATTCATGTCACAATACTGCTAATAGACATTTTAAATACATATATTGTTTTTAATTAAATTACGTAGTACACAGTATAGTCCGTACCTTGTATTTTTCTCCGTCAAATATTCATATATATAGCCCAAAATCACAAAGAGCTTTATAATCTGAACATATGACACTCTATATTCAGACCTTTGATTCAGATAAAGAGAAACTAACAAAAATTATACCATTAGACAAAATATCAGTGGAGGGATCGTTCCTCCAGATAGTAAATAACATTCTTATTACAACGCCACAAAGCGAAGGTGACCAACAGGCCTGTGCGTTGCATCGTAACAGAGCGGAACTTGATTTTATTTGTGGTGCTAATGGAGCCCTGCTCCCTCTCCTGGAGCCGGGATTAAAGGGCCCTTGTGTGGGAGGAGAGCTGCAGGCTATGTGGAGTGTCTGCGAGCAGAGAGCTGGACTCTTGGGATCAAGAACTCACTGACTCTCTCTCTCTCTCTCTCATACTCTCTTTTCAGAAATGCTTTTTCTTTTCTTTTTTTCTTCTCCCCCTCTACTTAAGTCTCTCCCTCCTTCATCTCTTGGCTTTCATAATTCCCTTCAGAGCAGCCAGTTCCCATCTGGGCTTTACATGCCTTTCACATGTGTCAGTGCAGCTGGTGGGGTGTTTCTGAGTGTGCATGCTTGTCGAGCATGCTGCTTTACTTGATACATACTAGAGTTGCGGCCTTTGTGGTCTGTCTGTTATTGTGACTGTATATAGACTTTATACTGTAGAGTCTGTATAGTAGAAGTGGACGTAGTCATCGTCACGTCACCCATTGGTTTGTCGACTAAAGTTACCGTTTTGAAGCCTCGGGTTCAGGGCTTTGGCCGTCGCCATCTTGGTTTTTTTTGCAACCAGAAGTGACGTAAAAGGGTGGAGCTAAGTACAACCAAACGCTGAATAAGACATTTTTAGGCGATATAAATGTTAATTAACTTAAAGAACTGAAAACACACTGAAAGTGTTGTAAGACGAAAAAACGGACAATTCCCAGACCGGACAACGCCGAGGTAGCAACCTGTCAATCAAAAGGTAGCCCCGCCCTAAAGCATCCCCTGCTTTATGGTCTGTGTGACTCTAAATGGACCATAATTTACTAAGTGAACATCATGCTGTATTGAAGAAGACTTGAAACTAGAGATTGAGACCATAAACTCATGTTTACAATGTTTACTGAGGTAATAAATCAAGAGAGTCATTTTCTCATAGACTTCTATACAACCAGAGGAGTCGCCCCCTGGTGGACACTAGAGAGAATGCAGCTTTAAGTACCTTCAGCATTGGCTTCACTTTTCAGACCCAGAAGTTGCTGGTGTGCCCTAATAATAATAAAGAGTTGTTTTGGGGGTTTAACTACATTCAACAACAAATAGTTTTCCTGCTCTGTGGATTCCGTTCTGCAGCAAGACCTTTTTCACTGCACTTGTCGGTCTGGAGCGCTCCATTACTCCTCAGTTAGATATGAAAGTGGCAGCAAACCATGCTCCTGTTTTTTTTTCATTTAATTGTAGTACCAGATGTTTAGCTGGCAGAGGGATACAAGATGATATAATGCCAATAGAGATAAATGCAGAAAGGTTTCCAGAAATCTGTTTACATGAGCTCATGACATTTCTCCTCACTATTGTTGTATGTTCCAACTCACTCATAGACCTAATTTACATGGTGGGGTTAACATGTGATCTTTTCCTGGATGCATTGCCGGGGAAATGCCAGCTAATCACAGGCCTTTGTATGTGCAGCTGGTATTAACAAGCTTTTTCTTTAGCTCGATTATGGAACTGATGGACTTGTCAACAAACATGGCGGGTCCTGGGAATCGGTGCGTTTGTCTGTAACCTTTTGCCGGGCTGTTTGATGTAGCAGGATGTCGTGGAATTAGGTGACATTTGAACTTGTTGTTGAACAATTTGTTTTATTCAAATGTGGCCAAACTGTACAAACAGCTTTTCTGGTCGATCCAGATTAATTCGATCAAAATGTTAAGCTTCGATTTGGTTAAATTTTCTGATGTACTCGTTAGTTACACATGATTCCCTTCAAGGACGGTCAGAAATTTGATTATCCAATGATAATTTAGAACCCGCCGATGGGTTTTGGGTCTTTTAACATGCACTTTTACTTATTTCTCTTTCTTTTTTCTCTCCTGTCAGGTGGCTCAATGGCCCGAAAAGGAAGAGGAAGAACAGCCAATGTTCCTTGAAGAGTATGACTGGTGAGTAACTGACGGCTGGTGTTTCGGTGGAGAGAGACAGAGACTTTTTTTAAAGCAGCTCTGAAGTAACAGCTAGCAAACAAACCTCCACTTTCGTACCTGAAGTGTGAATGAAGTCTGCATTTTTAAACACACCTCTCCTTCCGAGAATAAAAGCTCTCCAAATACAGGGAACCATTCATTTTGAAAATGGCTTTCCCAGCATTTCATTCAGCTATATTTGATGCACTTTTGAATTATTTTAGAGAAGGAATATTGTGGCTCTCAGTCTCACCGCAGTGAATGCATGCAGCCGAGTGACCGCACAGAAGCTAGTGGTACATGATTCATTGCTGCCTCGCGTACATTACGCGTTTGGATTTGTCACCTCCAAAGAGAAAAAGTAAAACATCTTGGCATCTGTCATCAATAAACGAAAGCCTTGTGCTCTGTCTGCTTTCTTGTTGGACGCAGCACATTGTCTGAGTGACAGCTCCAAATCCCTCGAGCTGAAAGAAGCAAATAAAGAAGGTAAGAGAGAGTGATAGTAATGGAGGTAGGGTGGGAGGAACACCAACATACAAATCTGCAGGACGGTTACTTTGGCACTTGTAAAAAATACATCTCCCAAGGCCCGTCCTCCCCACATGTTTTCCTTCCCAGCAAGCTTGTTGTCTTCCTCTCTGCATCACTGCTGGTATTGTGTCCCACATTTGATCTGCCACGGTCCCTTTCCTCTGGGAAAGTGTGCCAATACGTCTGTCTTGTATGAGATTGAAATGCATACACTGTAATGATGTCCGCTCTTTCCTGAGGGAGAGCGGACCCTCAACAGGACACTGAAGAGTTTAATGTGCATACCTGATTTAGTAAAGACGCGTATCAGTGACAAATCATGACAGAGATATATTAATGTGAATACAGAAATCCAGTTTACTCTGAGACCGCTGATTTAATTCTAGTGTTGAAATCATTCGTGGATTAATTAGTTGAGAGACAGAAGATTATTCGACATATTTAAACCAAACCCACAGAGAATTTCATCTTTATTTGAGCAATATGCGACATTCAGAGCGTTAATATAGCAGCAAACAACTAATATCTAATGTCTAACGAAGTGCACTTATAGGCAACCATTAGCTAATGCTGACACGGCTCCAGTTTGTTCTGCTGCCACCTAGTGGCAAACATCTATGAATTCAGCTTTAAGAATGAATCAATCAGGTATTTAATGTGTTAATTTATTAAATAAGCATGCCAAACATTGGTGTTTTCTACTTCTTTTGCATATTTACACTGTCTCAGATGATTATATGTTGAGTCACTTTGTTCAGACAGTTTGAACTTAAGATGCCGCAGTGAAGGAATTTTCCTCCCGGTTGATAAACACACCGGTGTTAACGGTTACACCTGACAGTGTGCCGTGGCTCCTTCAAAATAATTGATGCTATTTTATGCATTTATAGAGGGAAACAGAAATGAGGCATCCTTAATCCATTTTCAGTCAAATGTTAATTGTGTAATTTAACTCTCTCTATAGTGACAGATGGACATCTTCCAGTCAGGAACGAGACAATAAACGCGGCACTAGTTTCTGTATAACAGCTGTTGTTTCAATTCCAGCTCCTGTGCGTAGTTCCCTGTGCCCCGATGTCGTCAGTGTTTACAGTCTCAGTTGTCACCTCACTGTGCTGTTGTCATGTCAGGACCTCGGAGAAACAATCCCGGGACTCCGTCTGGGACCCGATCCATACTTTTATAATTTTCACACTTTGACGAAACGCAATGGCAGATGTTGTTTTGAGAAAACAAAATATTTATCTTGAGCAGCAGAAAAAAAATCCCCTTATGCTTTTCTGTTTTTTTGTTGATGGAGATATTGCAGGGCCTGTCATAGGAGGGGCCGGTAGCCACAGAGCTGCAGCGGTATTGATTTTGGGCTCGGCTTCTAAACATAGTCCTCAGCAGACTGGCTGCTTGCCCTGCAACACACTGGAGCTGACATTTTTCCCTATATGATGTATTTTCCACCATATATATATATATATATATATATATATATATAAATTAGTCTCTCGCCCTCTCGCTCGTCTCTCCTCCTCCTTTTTCTCTCTTTCCCAGCATCCCCTGTCTTGCCCTCCCCCTCCTCATCTAAAGTCTGTATCAAAGCCAAAAGGCAGAGGCCAGCTGACACTGCCAGTCACAGCTCTTACCACGCCTCGATATACAGACACATTTATATGTCATGCGAACGTCACACACACACGTTTGTACACAGTACAAAGATCTGCCAGTGGCTCTGTGTGTGTGTTCAGACTTAAACACACATGTTTCTGTATTAAGTTGTGACTCACAGACTACCATCTCTCCCCCCCCCCCCCCCCCAGTTTCTCTGCTGTTTTTCTGTAGGCAGTGCATGGAAAAGAACAGACTGTCCTACTCTTGAGTTTAAAGCAGAAGAAAGGCTGCAGAGGGAGGAGGACGAGTGCAGAGAGAGAGCAATACAAATAATGCCAATTTAAGTTTATTATGGCCTCTACATACCTTATTATAATAGTGTGGTTAAAACCCATTTATAGTGACATTAAAGACCTAATCTGTAAGGTTGTGACCACATTGATTTGAGGTTTGTTTATATATGTGATTGAAGAGGATTAATTCAATGAGAAAATGAAGTACTTCAAAATAAATCTTATATTACGTTATAAACCTTTTGCGTCACCAGAAAACATTGAAGACTTTAAACAGTCGTCCAGTGCTTGTCTGTTTATTGAAAGACGTGTCAATCAATTAGAGGGTAATCCTAACCGATGGGTGCTCCTCTGTCAGAGCTCCTCCTGACATGCAGCGTTTGTACTTCTTACCAAGTCAAGGACACATTTCCATCCCATTGGTATTCTCTGTGGTCTACATGTGGATCACAGATTCTGCTTTTTAAAAGAAGGCACAGCGGCCGTTGAGGTGGTAATCCAGTTCGGGACTTGAGCCATTGTGTGGGTGTAGTAGAATTTACTAGATGTGTCTGAAATAGTCCCGAATTGTCTCACAAAAAAAGAATCTCTGGACCTTTAAAGGTGCACGGTTGAGTTTTTTTGTAAACAAGCAAAAGCTCTGTTTACATTCAGAGTTAATCACGAACATGTGTCTGCTTAAGGCCTCACAAATATATAAATAAATACATGTTTTAAATGCTGTATTGTTTACATACAGTTATGCTAACAGTTTTCTTCTTCACTGCCTTTGCTGGCACGTTTCTTGGCGCATTAGCGCCACCAACTGTCAATCAGTGGATCAACGTAAAAAGCAATCAGCGAGGATGTGTGTCATGTGGTCCACATCCTCGTGCACCTGCAAGACAAACAAACGGGGAACCCGCTTGTAAAAACAACTTCTACGGGTCACTAACTCAACAGGATCCCTTTAACCCTGTTAGGAAAAGGGCGGATTGTGTTTCCCTGCAGGTCAGATAGAAAACTAGCTCCAACTGCTGAGTGTCAATGTCAAGGTTTAGTCCAGGAATCACCAAAACAAGACGGGAACACCACCGCCACGTTGCACTCCTTTCTTGCTCGATATAAACGGTTTTACTTTCTTACGTCAGAAAATTCACATATCCCATGTAAACAGTCAGCTACGGAAGCCCTGACAGTCCAAAGTCTGTTCTAAAATGTTTTCTGTCCTGTGTTTATGATTTGAGAAGGATAATCAATAAATATAAATACATAAGTTCCTTTTAAAAATCATCTTGAAACAGGTGGAAACAAAGGTTTTGCTGAGATCGTTTTTTTCTAAGTTACAAAAGAAAAAGTGATTTTTTCTTTTTGTTTCACTGTTTAAAATAACAGGAGACAGGAAAGGAGAGAAAACAATTTAGGTAAAAATAAATCACCAGATTGTTATTGTTTTCTCACCTTCTTCTCAGGGCTTCCGTTGAAAGCTTCTCATTGGCCAATAAAATCAATACAGCCACACAGGACATCTAAAAATGAGCGGCGAGTGTTGTTTTTCATCATCGTGTGACGCTCACGACTCCGGCTCAGTGTGTTTATGCCACAGTATAAGAACGGTGGAGACATATATATACATTATAATAGTCTGTGTAACGTTGTCTCTGGCCTTGCTTCTCTCTCTCAGGGTACATCCCCAGCTACCTCGAAAAAGATGAGCCATGTGTAGTGTGTGGTGACAAGGCCACAGGTTACCACTACCGCTGCATTACCTGCGAGGGCTGCAAGGTACACACACACACACACATATACACACACGATCCCAGTGTTTCACACGCAGCAGGTTCATAACCCACATAATATCTGCCAGGAAAACCTGCTATGAGGCCTCTCAGGTCACTCCAGAGAAAACACATCAAGGACATAGACGCCTCGTGTGCAGCGGCAGAAAGATAATATATGGACATGTTTGTATAAAAACCTGTCAGCTCTCCGCTGCGTCGGTTGTCTTCGCTGCTGTCAGACTGCTTCTGTTCATCGATGACATGTCATATCTAAGGCATTGTGATTAAAGAGGTTTCCACATTAGGCACCGATTCAATTGACTAGAATTGTGAAAGCAGCCAAAGCTTAGTGGACGTTGATGCATTTTACGTACGATTGATTGTGCCACCTCTCAAGAAGGAAGAAAGACATTTATATTTAAAGGCATCAGATTTATGCTAATAATTTAACTCAGCAATCAGTGTGTCTTCACTCGGCAAAAGCATACTTTTTATTCTAATAACATTTCATGGATATAAATCCATTTCCAGCTACGATTTGTTCAGCTCACTCCCACGCTGCTGCCTTCCAGCAATTATACTACTGGGATGCTAACATGGAGACAAATTGCGTCAGATTTGGTGGGAAGACAGGTACGAAACCAAATGAAAGATCTTATCTCTGAATTCGTTTTATCGCACAGAAGGAGGCGGCAGTGATTCAATTAAAATGAAAGTCACGCTGTAACAAGCGGCGGTGTGATGCGGTCCTTGTTGTCAGTCTCTCCCTCCACGTTCCTCCTCTCTGTCTACGAACGTCACTGTCCGTCCGTCCCTCTCCAGGGTTTCTTCCGCAGGACCATTCAGAAGAACCTCCACCCGAGCTACTCCTGTAAGTACGATGGCTGCTGCATCATCGACAAGATCACCCGCAACCAGTGTCAGCTGTGCCGCTTCAAGAAGTGCATTGCAGTGGGCATGGCCATGGACTGTGAGTGTTTTGTTTTGGTGGATTTAAAATGACAAATTTCATATTGTTTATTGAAACTGTTGTGCTTTTGAAGAAGTAGTAGTGATGTAGTAGATGCATGATGTGTGTGCTGATGTGACTGTGTATAGAAGGGTTGTGTAGAAACTTTATATAGAAGCTGCATCTCTACACGATATGTGCAGACTTCAGGCAACACACACACTAATTATATATCTCTCTCCCTCATCCTCCTCTGCCTCCCACCATCTCCTCCTAGTGGTGCTGGACGACTCAAAGCGGGTGGCTAAGCGGCGTCTGATCGAAGAGAACAGGGAGCGACGCAAGAAGGAGGAAATGGTGAAAACCCTCCAGAACCGTCCGGAGCCGACCGACAGCGAGTGGGAGGTGATCCACCTGGTGACGGAGGCCCACCGACACACCAACGCTCAGGGCGCACAGTGGAAACAGAAGCGCAAATTCCTGGTAAGGAAGTCATGTACAGTTCAGAATCTCCCAAAGAGATTCAGCACAGGAAGCATTAACTTAGATTTTACGATACCACTCAATAAAAGTAAAACCTGATGATAGCGCGGTATTATTATTATTGTTTTTGTTCTATGCATATTCTACTCTCTGCATCTACGGCGCTACAAGAGTCTGCAAAGTTGTCATCTACCCATTTCTGCAAGGGAGTGTATGTGTGACGCCCTTTCTGGCTCAAACTAAAGTGCTGCATGTCCTGAATCAGCCGCTGAATTAGTTTCTCTTCTTGCTGTTGCACATTCTTTTTCTCTGTGACTGAACAAAGTTGCCTAATTTGTAGATTATTTAAAGCTGTGATGTTGGAGGGTTACAGGAGACTGATATACAATATAATGTTTTCAATTAGAGAGCATTTGTTTATGGTCTTTCATTAAAGATTGTGGTTCTCACTCATAAAATAGACGACGTAGATGACGTAAAGTAGATGAATCAATCGTTCTCTTGTTCTATGATCGTGTGCCAGCTAGTGAGCCTTTCAGTGAGTGCAGACCAGATTTGATGTGTTGCACTCGTGTGATATGACGCGTGACTCCTCCTCTTTTACCTCTCCTTGGTTCAAACCCAGACACCCGAGTGTGAGTATTTGCCCAGCGTAGTTTTACCTGCTGCCTGTTTCTGTGTCTGTGCCTGTGCCTTTATTCCTCAGTTCTCTCCGGCATCTGGGGGGTTTATTCATCGTATTCCTTCTGGGCTTTTAACCAGACCTAATTCCCTTCATACTTCTCATCCACACCTCGACTCTCTCTCTCTTTTTTTTCCGCTTTAATCTGTTCCCGTCTTCATGTCTTTGTTTCCTCTCTCACTGTCCCTCTGTGTCTACCCTCACTTTCCCCTCTCTTTCTGCGAGCTCCCCTCTTATCTCAGTCGAAAGCAAATCCTCAGTCACGAGCGCTCACCTGCAAGCTGGCAGTCAAAGTGTCTCTCTCTCAAACCGACTCCCTGCTGCGCCGGGTGCTCAGATTCATCCTGGACAGCCCGACCCGGCATCAGTCCTCCCCCATCACACCCCAACACAGACGGACACTGAGCGACCTCGTGTTTTGGCCCCCGGATTAAAAAGTCTACGCTGGGGATCCGTTCGCTGTAGGTGGATGTGATGGGAGGAAATGAGGTTGATGGCATTTAGTGTAGCAGGTATTGTGGATGGAGTTGCTAGGCAACAAGAAGGATGTTGCCGGGTGTTGGGATGAAGGCGATAACGAAGGTGAGGAGGTGTGAAGCTTCAAGCAGAGAACCCGGCTTGTTTTGTTGTGTTTTTGGGTGAAGTTTGATCCGTTTGTCAAGTCCAGACTTCTTTATGAATCGAGACTTTCGTTTAGGCCACAGTGAGTATAGTCGAGGCACAAGTGGTCGGGTTTTCCTGAAGAAAGAATGGACAGATCCGTACAAAGATAAGCCCTCTCAGTCATCGCTTATGACTCACTAGAAGTGTGCGTCTGCATCTGCAGAGACCCTTCCCTCTGTCTGGGTTTTCTATTTTCTAGTGAGTCTGAGGTTTCCTCCGCTGGTGAGCACCATAGCCTTCGTTGTCCATTTGTTGCGTTTACGAACCTTCTTATTGTACATTTGAGGTTAATATGAGAATTTCGATGAAGAGACATATTTGTTTTTAACCCTATGAAGTTGTAGAAAGCCTGTCCGTACTGCAGGGCTTGCACACCCCAGGATTTAAAATACAGATTAGCGCTGCAATCAATGCTACCGTGACATATTGTACATCTTAGCCCTGAGCCCGGTTCAGCCAAAAGGATAAACAGTTCTATTTTACGCAGCCTTCACCCACTAACGGGTCTCTGGAGGCTGAAGCCACTGAACTCTTCAAGGATCAGCCGTGTCAGTGACGGCGGCTTTAAAACGGCAGCAGTGACACAGCGCCTCATTCACTGAACGTGTAGCTCGCAAATGACTCGACGCACTGTTTACGGTGAGCTACCGGGTCTAGCAGAAGACTGCAGAGCGAAGAGGAAGAGGAGAAAACATTTCGTTTGATACGTTGAACCAACACTGTGATGCTGCATGTGTATCACAGAATAAAGAAGACTTCAGGACCACATGATTACCCAGAAAATGTACAAGCATCCGCATAGAGTCCTTGTGAAGTAGAGGGTTTACATGAAAGGGTTTGCATGACGCAAACATCCTCACCTGCCCTTTGATCTGAATACATCTATGGTATCATCCATCGAGCTTATAAGATGTACCAGGTGTTCTTGTTTTTAGGAGTGGCTTCAACAACACGCTGCAAATGATGAAAGGATGCAAAGAGGCGTTCTCCGTGCAAACTGTAAAACATCGCGCGGATGGATTGATATTGTAGATCAGATTGTTATTATCATAGATAGATTCTTCAGTATCATATCTATGGCGTTGGTTAGACTGGCTGTAGACCTTCAGTCACAGCGTGTCTTCTCATGAAGTGTCCAACTTAACCTGCTAGCTTTGAATGAATGCACCTTATCAGCAACGATTTCAAGCATCTTTTTGGTACTTAATCAATGTTTTGTCGACACGAAAGAGCTCCATGGTCTTGATTTATTCATCATTGACTCCTGCTTCACTCGTGTGTCTTGCCCATTTTATTATTTGCCTGAGCCTCCAGATCTGCCTATCTGAGTTACAGTTCTACAATGTTCTCTCTCTCTCTCTCTCTCTCACTTCCAGCATTTAGTTCAGTTCAGTTCATTAACAACTGTGTGGGTTTGTGCAGGTCCACACTTCTGTCTAGGAGTAGTCATGGATATCTTATAGCCTTCTGTGTGAGACAATACATTGAAATTGTGTGAAAGGCGTTTGTGTTCTTGAATCCATGCAAAACGTGTCCGGTGTTAAGATCAACAAACCCCATCTCGTAAAAACAAATGCCCTCACACCAACAGAAGATGCAAGAAGAGCACATTCATTCCAAGTGCATGCATTCCTTCTTTGAGACACAACTAATACACATGCAAATGATGAAGTACGAATGCAAAATTGTTAATTCACTCCTATTATATTACGTACTAATATGCAGGCCACTATCCAACTACTATCTAGCGAGCAAAGATCAGTCCACACTCAACGCTTCAGGTGTTTTCATCTAGTCCTCCAGGCCGAGTGAAGCATAAAAGGCTCCCGGTCTGAGCAACATTCGGTAAACAACGCGGCTCAACCGGCTGGATTCACAATGTTCTGCTCAGCTATTTGAAAAACCTTGACATGGACTTGTGTTATTGAGCGCTCGGAGGACATGTGGTTTTGGTTGAACGCAGACATTCAGAATTAGACGTTCAAAAACATCAGCGTTTCTTTTTCAAATGCACACTCGCAGTTCAGCAGTCACAAGGTGATGTAAAACAAAAACACTGAATACTATTATCTTCATTAATCACGTCCAGTATCGGTTCATAGCACAGTGGTAAAAACATCCTCACTTCTCTTCTCCGGCTCTATGAGTCCATAATAAAGGACCAGTAATATTGTAAATATGAAATCTCTTTCATTTCAAAAACTACATATTTTCTCTCATGATTTTTGTGGTATACAGCCACGCAGATATAGTTTTGGGTTTTATCAGGCCAGGTTTTGAGATTTCAAGCTGAGCTGTAACGTTGGCTAGCTCAGTGGTGCATTGTCCGTAATTGTTGAGCAGAGGATTGGCTACATTTGTACTAATTCACAGAGTCTCCTTCCGTCCTCTGGATTAAGATTGATGGTGGTAATTATTATACTTTTATCTCGACCCGACTTGAACAAACCACGGTGACGTTGACGCGCTTTATTCAGCGGAGCGTGAAACAATATTTTCAAACTCGCGGCCTCGACCCACACAGCTCTGTAAACGTATGTATTACTGCTCTGCAGTCCTCCTCTAAGTAAGCGCTATCTGTCGGGTGACATGTCCCATTCCTCTCACAGAGCACAGTCTGCCGTCCTTATCTGGGAAATTGATTTTAATTTGTCTCCCAAGGCAAGAGAGCACTTTGTAGGAAGGCTATGAAAAACATTTAAAACTGTGTTGTTCCCTCTGCTATATTCCCCCTAAACCCCACACCGCTCTTATTGATTCTTCCATAATCTTATTTTGCTCTTTAATTTAAAACACACACCCATACTCTGAACTGTAGCTCGTCCTAATGTTCTCTCCATTGTTGTATAGTCGTGCTCTCTTCTTCTTTAACTTAATTTAAAGTGCCTTATGCACTTTGTTCTTTTCTTTGTTCTACCAAGCTCAAATATGCTCTCCTCGCCTCTATCAGGACATCACCACTTCAAAAGATGGCGATAGTCTGCATATTCTTTATTGTGAAAACCAACCATGTGTTCTGTGTCTGTCTCCAGTGTTGGATATCGGTACTCGATACCTTTAAGGTATTCAAATAATCCAGGTATTAAAACGTCTCCAGTCAAAACGATCCCTGCGTTCGATCTGTTTTGAGTTCATGTAGTGAAGGAGCAACAGTGAGGCTCACTGATGTGTTTTTATTGGAGCTCTATGGCTCAGAGGAAGAAGAGATAGCAGCCTTTGATACACACATTTATGAATAGGATCAGTTTGGTCTGTTCTCTGGATTTGTTTACAATAATAAAGTCTAGTCTGGCTCCTTTGCTCTTGTCTAATGTAAAACTTTTTGTTTTCCCATGCAGCCAGAAAAAATCGGCCAGTCCCCGGTCGCCCCGACGTTAGACGGAGACAAGGTGGACCTGGAGGCCTTCAGCGAGTTCACTAAGATCATCACTCCTGCCATCACCCGCGTCGTCGACTTTGCCAAAAAACTGCCCATGTTCTCTGAGGTGAGTGTCGGGTTAGCGGTCTGGAGGAGCAGAGGGGCGAGTGAGGGAGTCTCGACGCATACAGAGACGCTTAACACACAGCAGGCACGGCCGAGCTCCCGTCCTCCTGTGAGGCTTGGAAAATCAAAGCCAGAAGAAGCTTTTGTTGTTGGAGGCAATCAGCCCCGCCTTGATTAGCAACATGTAATCACGTAATGAGACTGCAGAGTAGATAATTATCAGGGTAGCTGACTTATTGTCTAGTAGTGGGAACAGCTGCTGTGTGTGTGTGTGTGTGTGTGTGTGTGTGTGTGTGTGTGTGTGTGTGTGTGTGTGTGTGTGTGTG